AGCGTTTGCACTGGTCTCCGCCTAGGCTGCGTTTTGTTCCCTCTGCTGTTTGTGTTGTACATGAAAGAATATTCAGGGGCAGCCAGGGCCATGAGTGTATCAGTATAGATGTTGAAACGAGAACGTTGCTGCTTGCAGACGACCTTATTTTACCATTGGCATCTTTTGAAACTGATCTACAGCGCTATCTGAAAAGATTCGCAGCCGAGTGCGACGTGACCGACATGCGTGTGAACGCATCTAAAACGGAAAGCCTAGTGCTTTCTCGTTCTCCTACCCGTTGCTCTTTTCAGATAAGCAGAGAGGCACTGGAGCAGGTGGAGAAGTTCAGGTACCTCGGAACTGTATTCACTAGTGATGAAAATTTGGGGAAGAGATCGACCAGCGAATTGGAGGAACCAGTGGCGTTCTGCCTGAACTGACCCGATCCGTTGAACTAAAGCAGAGCTCAGTGTGAAAATTAAACTCTCGGTGTTCAAGATAAGCTTAATGAATCAAGTAATTAATTACTAAAAATCAAGATGATGATTGCCTACGACCATCAGTCGTGACCATGATGGAAAAACTTCGAACCCGGCACAAGCTGCTGAAATGGGCTGTCTGAGCCGAGTCGTTGGCCTTTCGACATGGTGAGGAGTACCGAAGTCCATGAGAGCCTTGATGTACAGCCGCTGCTTCTTCAGGCTGAGAATTCACAGCTGCGATACTTTGGGCTTGTGTTGCGAATGTCTCCAGAAAGGAACATGAAGCAACTATTTCTTTCTCAGCCCACGGGGAAAAGGCTCAGGGGGCGGTTTAGATTATCCCGGTGCAAATATGTGAAAGGAGTCTGCTGTAGACTACTGTTGTCTTCTGTCGACACTCAGACTCTGGCAGGGAATTGGAATGTTGGAATCACTCTCTGACACGTGTTTTTCAGCGACCCTAAAGGGATGGCGGTGGTAGAAGATGAAGTTGCTGATCGTCTTAGGCAGATAAGCATGCTGTGGTTTTAGAACTCAGCTATGTGTGTTTGATTTGAAGTGTCTCTTTTCAATGAATTCAAGTGCTTGAGGCATCGCATGAAGAATTAGGCTTTATGAAGCATGATGTTTATGATAAACGAAGGTTTCAGTTACCACGGTTACGCTCCAGGTATTCTGATTATAAAGGATGTGTTTTCCAAAAGTTCTTGTTTCGAGATCACTGTTAGCCTGTCCGATAAAGCTTTTGTCTTACTGGTAACTCTTTTATTCCACAAAGTTATT